AAGAAACCTTACCAAACTGGTACCCTGCCTTCTACCCATGGTGATCAATGCTTTTCAGCATCTCAGGCAGCTTTCCGGGCTGCTGTCCTCAAACACCACCAGGGGAGGACTCCATAACTTAGCATGCTTCAGGTTGCTAATAGCAACACAAAAGTCAAGCTGAACTACACATTGTAGGCAATCAATATATCGGCTTCTGCACTGGGGCACAGGGGTGCTCAGACAGGTTCTGTCAGCTCTGACTTATATTTATTTACACTTACCTTGCTCTGTCTTCAACTCAGGATGCTTCAGTCCTCTTGGTTTCTTGCATGGTCACATAATGGTTGTTCCTGGCCCAGACTGCTGCCTGCAATCAACAAAGGATGATGCTTCTATTCCCGGATCTTCCATACATCACTCTGACAACCACATGGCCACACGCCCAATTCTGAACCAGTCCTGATGGCCCAGGGAAATGCCTTAAGTTCATCGGCTGGCACCTGATGGGCCTCAGCCAATCACAGTGGAGATAAAATGTGATACAGCTGGGGATCCATCTCCAGAGTACTAAATCAGCTCCAGATCAAATCCTTGTTCTTTCTCAGCCAACTTGGAAGCTTCAGAAGCCACTAATTCTGCAAGGCAGCCTACAGGACTCACAGGGAGCAAGATACACAGGCTTGGGCTCCAGGGCCTTCGTGGTGACAGAGGGGTGGAAATGCATATGCACCAGTGACATGCATTTTCACATAGGTATGGGCACACACACAGGCACCAGGACACAAAGCACACCCCAGTACGACATACATCTCCACCAATGCCAGCACACATTACACACACCTAATATACATACATGCATGCGCACAGAAGAAACACGTGACCATGTGCACACATTCCCCAGGACACAGGCAAAGATTGTTGCAAATCCTTCCTGGGAGATGCGCTGGGGCAAAATCTCCCCCACCCATCGTGCTGCTTCCCCACACCGGGTCGCAGCTCCCAAAGTCACACAGTTAAACAGCCCAGGGCTCCACCTCTGATGACCCCACGGCTCTTCCTAGTGGCTGGGCTATTCAGAGTCAAGAGGACCACTGTGCTGCTCTCTGGGGGCTGCGGACAACCTTCCTCCTGTCCCGTGCACACTTGGGGTTCACAGGCAGAGGTGCCGATTGTCAGAAAACAGGCGGCCCCTCCAGGACGGCATGGGGTGCTTTCCCAAGCTGGGCTCCAGTCATCAGGCCGAGGGTTGTCCCTGGGGTCACATCCGAGTCGGCTCCTCAGCTCGCTGCCTCTCCAGTCATGTTCTGAGATGAACTCCATGAAAGGGACTGTCGAGTCCCGTCCCGAACTTTCCCTCATTTCTGATGGACCTAAATTGCCCTAGGAGGGTTTTTAATCACCCAGCAGCATCCATATCACACATTTCACAGTTCCCAACCCGTGTGTATCAAAATCGAGAAGACTTGATACGGAAATCAGAAGAACCGGATCACTGTGCTCTCTGAGGCTTAGAGAAGCATTTAATTGGGGCAATCAATGTACAGCAATAAAAGCACTTTTGTTGTCATTTTACTTTATTCACTTGTAAGGACAATGAAACTGCTCAACTGAAAAGTGACTAATTGGTCAGTTACATAGTCGTTCAGCAAGTATTTTCTGAGCAACCATTCTGGGCAGAACCCTGGGAGGTGTGATGGGGTGTATAAGGCAATGTACCGCGATTCAAAGAATGAATAGTGTGGAGTCATCGCCATCTGTGCCAAGGACTCTGCCGGGCTCTGAGGGACAGGAGCCGGTGAGGCGCAGGGCTGCCCGGCGCGGGGAGACTGCGGGAAGCGCTGCACCCACCACATTCCAGCTCTGGTTCAGTGAAGGCTGTGCGCTGGGTGGGAGGTGAGTCGGTGCCGGTGCAGCAGAAGCAGGTGATGCCCTCTCGGTCCGCGGGGGACACGCCGCATGGAGACCATGGCCGGGGAGGACAGGGTGGGCCAGGGATCCTAGGAATTGTGGATGTGTCACCGCCCAGGCCCAGAGCCTCAGGACAGAGCCAGCCCCGCCCCAGCTCAAGCTGCCTGTGCCGGGACACTGGGATGATCTGTGCCCGTCCCAGACTCTGAGGCTGGACACCGATGCCTGCTTAGGAATGGGACAGCGTGTGTGTGCGGAGCTGCGGGGAGCTGTGCGGGGAGCCCGAGCTGGGACGGGAGGCCGCTGTCACTGCGGGGAGCGGTCACAGGAGTCCCGTGGGACCCACTGAGAACTCTGTCCCTCACAGCCGCCGGCGAGTCCACCTTGAGTTCACAAGGACACAAGGACCGGACCGTCCTGCTCGGGGACCTGGCTCTGTGTCCAGATGGGGCCGAGCTGGGTCCTCCTGGAGGAGCAGAGACCGGAAGGTGTGAAGCTCATTGGCCCCTCTGTGTCCCGCTGTCCCCATGCAATGAGGGAGGAGCCTGTGCAGTGGGGGTCAGGGTGACCGTTCCCCTCTCTGCTCCCTGTCTGTCTATGACGACAATAAGCAGACATCAAAAGTTAAATAAATGCTACCGTGTAGCTAAGCTGCTATGCCAATAAATCTCAGTGATGCAGGTCCAGTGGAGTGGCCCTCGGCCCGGGGACACTGGCCACTGTCTAGACCCGGTTTGGGCTGTCCTGCCTGGATGACAGCGTCACTGAGGTTCCCTGGGTAGAGACCTGGGACGGTGCAAAGACCCTGCAAAGGCCAGAGGGCCCCAAGTGCAACCAACCAGTGCCAGCAAGTGGTGCAGAGGCAGAAGCCTGGGGTCACCAAGGTCACTATGGCTGATGCTGAGAGAGGAGGGGCTGGACCTTGAAGGACATGAAAGTAGGAGAAGAGCAGGGGCCACAGGAGGGGCAGCAACTCGGGGATGGGGTGGAGGGCGTGGGTGGGTGAGGACTCAAGGCTGCGGGCTCTGCTAGCGTCCTCCCATCCGCTGTGGCCAGCGAGGCTCGGGCTCCCGTGAGGTCGCCGCCTGCCTGTCGTGTGACACCCAGCACTGCAGCCACGAACAGCTCCTCCCAGCCCCCACCCGCCAACCTCCTGGGTGACCTGAACCACAGGGACACAGGGGCCCTGAGGCTGGAGTAAACTCACCTGGGTGGCAACACGGGGACCAGGAGCTGCTCAGGGAGCCCAGCGCTTTTCAGCTGACGCCTTCTACCCTGGGCACCAGGCCAGGGCTTGGGTCCTCCCCTTCCGCCATGGTGCCCGTGCTTGGGGCCTCACTGGGGAGGCTGGTGGGTCCCCCACCCCCGAGGACAGATGGCCGGCCGCATGGGGACACAGCGAGCTTCTCCCTCCTGGCAGTGAGACAGCGAGAGAGAGCACACAGCGCATTCGGGTCCATGGGACACAGGAGCAGCTGTTCTCCTTTCTTCCTTGGGAACATAATCCTGCTTTTGTTCTTTCTCATAGAAAACGGGGGCTGAGCAAACGTGACCCTGCCCCGGCCCAGGGGACAAAGATGACAGGTCAGGGGCTCGAGGGCCAGCCGCAGTCATCCTGTCCCTTGGCTTGTGACTGTTCAAGAATGGGCGGGTCGTCCAGTCCACCAGGGGAAACCCAGGGACAGCTGCCCCTGGCCTCTGGGAAAGACTTTCCAAGACACACGTGAGACCAACCTCCAGCTCTCCACTTCCTCTCTTTTAAACGCAGTCTGGTGAGGCTGGAGCCACAGCAGCCATTGTGAAACCCTGAGGCAACGGCCGGAGGATCTCAGGGGTGCAGAGATAGAGCCCTGACAACCTCGAGCCACTGAGTACGTCAGCGTGGAGTGGCCTTTTCTGGCCTCCTTGGAGGTGGGTGGATCAGTGCCTCCACCAGCGGAACCCGTGCTCCTCAGACCATGGTTGCACATGGACCAGCCAGGGTCCCGTGACAGCTGAGAGCTGAGGTAGAACCTGAGCTCCCCATTTCTGACAGACGCTCCATGCTGACAACACCAGCCCGCAGACCACTCTGAGGTACAGGGGGATGAGCCACTCTCCGCGGATGCCCTCTTCCATGTCCCCACAGCACCCCACTCTCCTCCCTATTAGCATAGGAACCTGCCAGGGACCAAGCCCAGAGTCGCAGTTTCCCGCCAATCAGATGTGCCCCCTCCACTGGGGAGCCCCGAGGGGACAGAGTCGGCCGCTCTGCCTTCTCTGCTCCTCTTCGCGGCCTGTTTTTCACACCTGTGGTCCTGAAATTCTCTGCAGCAGGAATCGCTGTGCTCCATCTTGGCGGCACTTTGGGTCTCCTGAGGGACACGGAAGACGGCGATGCCTGGGCGCTGACCCAGGGGCTTGGGTTTGATAGACCTGGGTGCAGCCTGGGCATCGGGAGCTGTTAAACCTTCCCGGAGTCTCAGCGGCAGCCAGGCTGAGGGCCGGGGCCAGGCCTGACTGCACAGGGAAAACAGCTGGCACCGCTGGTCCACGGTCAGCCGCCCACGGAGGCCAGGCCTGGGACTCACCGCCACCCCTGCAGCTGCACCC